AGAGAGAGAGAGAGAGAGAGAGAGAGAGAGAGAGAGAGAGAGAGAGAGAGAGAGAGAGAGAGAGAGAGAGAGAGAGAGAGAGAGAGAATGGCGGGTGCAAACGGAACGGCCGAGTGTTGACCGTGCGGAGCGCTATTTGGGGTGGGGGTGGGAGCGTTGCCGCTGCTGTAATCTGGAGTGTCCACGTATGGACGACGAGTGCTGGCGGTATTTGCGGCGTTATTGTGAGACAATAGACTGAAGCGAGAGGCCTGGTGCAGGGGCAGGCAGGACAACGCCCGCCTTCCCGAGGCGTGTTTTTTCCAGTCTGTCTGTTTTGGACTGGGGGCAAATCCAAACCCAACCTCAGCCCGGTGCAGCGCAATCCCATCAATCAAGGGTTATCAAACTCCCCCCGAGGTTGTCAAGAAGGTGGCGAAGATATAGAAAATGGTATCTACTCGTCGTTCCAGTCCAGGTTCCGATCACAAAGGCGATCCGAGGGGCGATCCGAAGCCCGAACCTAAATCGGAACCTAGGTCATCTGGAGCCCCAAGCAATTCGCCGAGTAGTCCCTCTGGAAGCCGACGACGAGGAAAGAGATCAGGCAGCAGCAACGACACGCCAACAACTGATGCCTCTCCTCCTGTGGATGGTGTCTCTAAACCCGTCTCCCCAGGAGGGGCAAAACGGCAAAAGGTACGATGCTCAATAAAGCACATCGTGACATCTTTGTTCTCTTCGCTCACCTCTTTCTTGTGACTTCACCCCCCTCCTTGCGTCACGGGTCGCTGCTCACAATCTCCTCCCTCCTTCCTTAGTCTGAAGGTCGTAATCATCTTTGAATCGCACAAAGCACCGTCTTCCTCCGAACATAACGCACCCTGATAATGGATGTATACAGCTATCTCTTTGCGGTTCGATAGAGAGAGAGTCAAAATGAGGGTGCGTCGTGTTCGGGGGAAGACGGTAGTTTCCTTCATGGCATCTTGTTGTCGGGAAATCTATACATCCACCGTCATCTTCGCGCTCGTTATTGGCTTGAAGGCAGGTCAATGAATAAATCGATTGCACATACATTTGCAGACCTTCTCTGGCTCTCTCCCTGTTCTTTTCGCGTACACCCACATGCACACACGCAAAAAGAAAGATAATCAACTCAGTTGCGTACATACAGGCGCGCGTGCACAGGTACGCAGACGCACACCCACATCGAGAAGAGAGAGAGAGAGAGAGAGAG